GGACAAATCCACGCGGGTTCTGGGGCCGAGATCTCCCAGCCTACTCGGATTGGAGTCGAGCATCCTCCACCCAGATCCTCCAAATTCCAGTAGGCGGGGGTCACACCCACCACCTGGCCCCCTGGCGCCGTGTAATCCCATCAACGGCCAAGACTCAGAGACTATAAAATCCAGCTCCTGGAACCGTGCGGCCGCATTTGCGGCCACGCGAGATCTTATCAGGACATCTTTTATGACATCTTATTATCTCGTTCCTTCTTTGGACAAACTTGCAGGCTATCGAATGTAGCCTGCCCACAGGGCAGAGTCTGGCAAACTCCCCGTGGCATACCAAATATGCCAAATACCAGTAACAATGATGGGTCTCATTCTCCTAAAGAGCCTTGAATATAATCTCAGGGTTAGGATGAAAGAGACGTTACTGGGGCCTGCTCGAGGCAATCGACGAATAACAGGATGATGAAATGAAATGAAATGAAATTTTCATTTCTTCTCTGTGTAGAATATATTAATTAAAATTTGACAAGATAAAAAAGTTATTTCTCTTATCACCAAAATAAACAATTTTTCTACTTTGAGAATTTATAAAATGAAGCTACAGAAATATATTTTTTATTTATAGTGGATGTTTAAATTTATATAAAGATGAATTTTGATGGGATAGAATAGCTTCTACACAATACTGAGAACTTTTTCGTTTAAAAGAGAAAAGTATCCAGATTTGGGCTATTGTGAACAGTGCTGCAATGAACATATAGGTACATACGTAATTTCTACTGTGCTTTTTTGCATCCTCAGGATATATTCCAAGAAGTGGTATTGCGGGGTCATATGGAAGCTAAATTTGTAGTTTTTGAAGGACTGTCCATATTGTTTTCCAGAAAGGCTAGACTAGTGGGCATTTCCACCAACAGTGAAAGAATGTCCCTTTTTCCCCACATCCGCAGATAACTGGTTAAAGAAACTTTGCTACATCTACACAATGGGATACTATGCAGCTGTCAGGAGAGATGAAGTCATGAACTTTGCTTATAAATGGATAGACCTGGAGAGTATCATGCTAAGTGAAATGAGTCAGAAAGAGAGAGAAAGACATAGAAGGACTGCACTCATTTGTGGTGTATAAAATAACAACATGAGGCTGAAACCTAAGGATAGTAGATTGCCCCATAGCTGGAAGCCTGCCTCATGAGCAAAGGGGAGAGTGCAGCTGGAATGGAGAAGGGATCACTAAGAAAATCATGGCTTGAAGAATCAGGATGGGAGATGTGTGCAGAAAGTAGATAAAGGACCAAACATGATAACCTCTCAGTGTTTGTATTGCAAACCGTAATGCCCAAAAGTAGAGAGAGAATATTGTCTGCCATGGAGGCAGGGGGATGGTGGGGAAGGGAGTCTTATCGGGGATATTGGTGGTGGGGAATGTGCCCTGGTAGAGGGATGGGTGTTTGATCATTGTGTGATTGTAACCCAAACATAAAAGCTTGTAACTATCTCACGGTAATTCAATAAAATTTAAAAAATAATAATAAAAAGTAAAAGAGAAATGTATTTAATTTAGGGAATTACTGTTGTTTATATCTACTATGTAATCCAACAATGTGAAACCTTGTTTCCTCATAAGTACATAAGTAGAGAAAAATGCCCTCACTAAACCGTGAGGCAATAGTAAAATGACAATACTTATATTTTAAATCAGCATTTTTGTGAATAAAAATTGATACCACAATAAATTTTAGTTCATGATAGCATAAAGATTCAGTATCTTCCCCAAGAAATTTATAAGCTAAGCTATTGGTTAGATTTAAATTATAAAATGCATATTTATGCACTAAATACATTAATATAATTTACTATGTATTAATAACAACGAAAAGTATTATCTTGTAAAATTTTGCAATTTAATAAAACAAACTGAACAACAGTAGAGATTGTTTAGAGGGACTAAGGTGAACAAAGTAGTTGACAAAGTAAAAAAAAAAAGTCAATTAAACACACAATTTGGGAAAAGAAGACAGATAAATATATAAATAAATATAATCTATGTCAAATCTTCCTCTATTAGAAGTTAAGGTGCATTACTTGTAGAATCAGAGATAAGTATTACCATTTGCTGAATGAGTCTGTAAATGTTCTATAGAGGAGAAAATCTGTTAAGAAAAACTAAACTTGTATAGTATTTAAGCGTATCACATAGATTAAAAAAAAGTCATTCTATGAGGAATAAGGAATAAGGCTATAATAAGGTCTTTTGTGAAAATCTAGATCTTTTAAAAAGCTTTAGTTTTGTTCTGGTACTGTTGTTACATGACCATTTCAGAGTTAATCTGTGATGTTACTCAAGAACTTTGTAAACTATTTATTTATTTATTTATTTATTCTGGTTTTGGGGCCATACCCTGTGATGTTAATGACTTACTCCTCAAGCTCTAAGTTCAAAAATTACTTCCAGGCAAGGCTCCACAGTCCATAGACCACAAATGGTGCCAAGGATTAAACCTATATCGACCACTTGCAAGGCAAATGACTGACCCACTGTATTTGGCCCAAATACCTTTTATTTTAAAGTCTGTAAAGAACTAAAAGACTAATATTTCTATCAAGTTCTTTATAATTGTAATTCTCAATTTAATGAAGATTAGTTGAGTATGCAGAGATGAAGCCCGTACTTCAGTTCTCTATTTGCATTTCTATTCTCTAAATTATAACTTAACCATGAAAATTCGTGATTTATTATAATAAGGAATAAAAAGTATAGATGGACTGGAGCGATAGCACAGCAGTAGGGCGTTTGCCTTGCAAGCGACCAACATGGACAACCCAAGTTCGATCCCTCCGCCTCTCTCGGAGAGCCTGGCAAACTACCGAGAGTATCTCGCTCGCAAAGCAAAGCCTGGCAAGCTCCCCATGACATATCTGATATGCCAGACACAGTAACAATTGTCACAATGGAGCCATTACTGGGCCTTCTTGAGCAAATCAATGAACAACGGGAGGACAGTGACAGTGACAAAAAGTACAGATAAATGTTTTCCGCTAAAGAGCAAAACAGCATTTTAAAATGACTTTAGAGTTAGGAATGTGATTTGGTGACAGAACACTTGCTCTGCCTGGGTGAGATCCTATATTTATTGTATACTATAAAAATTATTTACGTTTGGGGCCAGAGAAATAGTAAAACAGGTAGGATGCTTGTAATACACAGAGTCAACACATGTTCAAAGCCTGGTATCCCATATGGTCCCTAGAGCACCGCCAAAAATGATTCCTGAGTGCAAAGCCAGGAGTAACTCTTGAGAATCTCTGGCATGGCCCACATTTTTTAAAAAAAATACATTATTTACTGTAGTTAAATAAGTTTAATTTGAATGTTCACTGTAAATTTATTAGAATAGTCCTAGAGTGCATTACTGTGCTTAACTGCAGGAAAGCAGAAGTTAGTTCCAAACCTACTAAAATAGAATTTATCTAAGCTAGATTCAGTAACCTTCCAAATACTGCCCAGTGAGCCCTAAAGTAAAAAAACTAGAAAGAAAACAAAACAAAACAAAACCCAGGGCCTGAGAGATGATATAGTAAGGCTAAGCATTTGCCTTTATGAACCCTATAGCATTGCTGAGTCTCTCCAGGAGTGATCCCTGAGTTAGAGCCAGGAAAAAGACTTACACTGCTGGGTGTGGCCCCCAAACCAAAACCAACCCAAAATAAAACAAAACATGCATTATTATATAGTATGTGAGAACAAAAGGACAGAAAGGAAGAAATGAGAACAACTGGGACATTAAAATATTATCCACTCCTTAAACTAATCAAGTAAAATGTCTGTTTATGTGCAGGGATTTAAAGAGTGCAGTCAAGGAAGAAACTAAACTGTAGTAGAATTCAGTTAACAATGTAATATAGCAGTAACATCACTTTCTAATGATTTGATTAAATGTGGACTGACAGGAAGCAAGAAGTTGAAGGGCAAGATGCGAAAGAAACTCCCGAAAGCCAAGCAGAGTGTGGCAGTCTAGTTGTAAATTCAGACAGAATCTCAACAAGATGTTCAATTTATTAGATATTTGCTAACACTTTTTAGGAGTAGAGTTAAATGTGTTTTTTGGTTTGAAATTTGAACTGCTACAAAATATATCTGAATTATATTAGAGCTGAATAAAATGCAGCAAAATAAGAAAAAAAAAGTTTATCCATGTGAGTTCTGTTCAACATTCAGACAGTGGAGGTAATGCCCAGCAAGCATGAGATCTGGAATTCAATCCTCAGCTGTGTAGATGGGGCTGAGAACAGAAGAATCAGGCCTAAAGACTATCATTTACCCTATCCTAAATTATTTCCCCTTTGCTTTTAGACAAGGTATAAACTGGATCATGCCCTATCTTTTGCTGTGTAAGGGCCGTTAGCTTGCTCTGAAGATTTGCTTTGTCAGTGCTTAGAAAAGCGATTGAGCAGGAGAGGACAGGCTCTCATATATGTAAGGCCTTGGTTTTAATCTCTGGCAACAAATGCACTCACATCCAGGCAGAATTTCATTGTCAGAGAAAACCCATGCATAATTTGTAATAAGTTTAGTTTTTTAGAAGAATTTCAACTTTATGTAATGATGGCCTATCTTCACCCATACCTACTTATGATTCTGCCCTTCTTTGTGCATTTTCCAACAAGAGAGCTGGCTATCTCCTATCACTTAGCCCTAAAGAGGTAAGAGGGTTGAGAAAATGACAGAGATGATGTATTTTATGAATTAAAAGGACCAATATTTGTATTGCTATAGCTACAATAGTGTAGCTATCATGTAATTTCAGACTTGAAAAAATTCCAACAATAGACTTGACAAAAGGATATTACAGCATGTTTTAATTTGACAATTTTATGAGTACGTTTCAAGATATTGATTATATCACATTACAAATTCATTTAAAGTTTGTATAAATTATTTGTTATAGTTCTTCATGCTGTTGGCACTGCATTCCTAATAAATATTTCACCACTTAAACTGCTAACATTTAGATCACAGTGGAAAGCTCTAATCAAAAACCAACTTATACAAGTCTACGCTTTATTAAACCACTGAGTTTTTTTTCTTTTCTCCAGCATGGAGTATTTAAAATGAAACCATCCTATTAAATTAAACAAACTAAGCATTACAATAGATCAGCAAGAAGCCATGCAAGTTATGTTGACATGAGCACCACATCTCCTGCATTGATTTCTGAGTCCTGACTGTGGTTCGAGCTGATGCCCGTATCTGAGTCTGTGTCATTTGTGTACATGTGAAATACTCTTTGAGTAAAGGGAGCAACTTCTTCACTGCTGTTGGAAACCTCTGATTCCTTCCCCTGATTTTCTTTTACCTGGCACCCATCTTTGTTGCTAATATGAAAAGAACTGAATTCCTTGGCTAGAAGTTCATACTCTTTTGCTTTCATCTGAAGCAATGAGTCACTGTATTTAATCTCTTTCTGGATGCCACTCAAGTGAGAATGGATTTTTAAGCCAGCTTTCATGCTTTTCTCCAAATCACACTTAACACTTTCTAGGTTAGAGTCTTCAAGTTCACTTGCAGCTGCCCCTTTTTCATCTTCGTTTATCTCCATACAAACACTTTGTACCTCTTTTTCTATTTCAGCAGAGAGCTTGTCAATGAGCATTCTGTAATATGTGAGTCTTTCTTCTAGCTGTGAAATCCCATCATTCTCACTTAGTTCCTCGGGAATCTGGTTTTCATCAGGATGAAAGTCTAGCTTTTGCTCAAGTTCGCTAAAACTGGGCATTAAGTAGGCATCCTGGACATAATTTTCCCCATCATTTTCTACACGATCAAGATGGAACTTCGCTTCACACTTTTCAATTTCCAGATCCAGTTCTTTCATCCTCTTGACTTGCTGATGAATGGTATGGTCTTGGGAGATAATCAGGTGAACTAATGTTTCCATACTATCTCGGTCCTGGGAAGCTGTGTCCTGCTTAATTTTAGCCAGTTTCCGGAAAGTTTTTCTGACTATTCTCTTTTGTTTATCTGGTGGCAATGTCTTCATATAATTTGCTGGGCTGAGTTCCCACGACTTTTCTGTATTTTGCACCAGTTTGGCTTCTGCTGTTCTCCACAAAGGAACTGGAAGAAAAGCATCTGCTTTAACCAAAACAAACTGCATATTAGGCTGCTCATCACCCCATGCCTTCCAAAGCTTCAGTATTCTAGTTAGTGGAGGAAGAGCACGCTCTGATCCTCTCCACTTTTCTATGATGCAGTAATCACTGGGCTTCCCTAGAAGAAACCGTTTCTCTCCGAATGTAGTCTCATGTTCCTCAAGCAAAGCCTTGATGACATCAGCAGAGGTGGTGCGTTTAGTTAACCCACAGACAATCTTTTCTTCTTGGCAAACCCAAACCACAATTTCCTTCTCTTCTGAATCCATCTCTTTAGTTGGGGATCTGAAAGAAAAACAAAGTACATTATATCTCTGTCATCACCTATGTTAACTTAAGAAAAGATTAAACTTTAATACCATCTCTAGATTTTATCCTTAGTGAGAGATGCATTTTGAAGTTGAAACTATGTAATAATCACTTATATTGCAATAAAAGAAGGAACACTTTAAACTTTGAAAATATTTTACTCTCATGTTTGAAGAAGAATATAAAATATGAATATAAATATGACTATATATGAATACAAAATATGTTTGAACAGGAATGTAAAACATACATTCCTCCTAGGAGGCAGTGCTGAAGGAAGACCTCTAGAAGGACTGAACAGAAGTGCAGGTCATAAAATCTGTTACAGGGACAGAAATAGCATGAATGTTATTGGAAACATGGTCATGAAGTTAAGAGTTGTTGCCGATAAAAGAGAGGTCAAGGGACTGGAGCGACAGCACAGTGGGTAGGGTGTTTGCCTTGGATGTGACCAACCCAGGGTCGATTCCCAGCATCCCGTATCATCCCCGAGCACCACCAGGAGTAATTCCTGAGTACAGAGCCAGGAGTGACCCCTGTGCATCCCTGGGTGTGACCCAAAGAGAAAAAAGAAAAAGGAGAGGTCAAATCATAAAGCATTAGATGATGAAGTTTAACAGAGAAACAGTGTTAGCAGAATTAGAGGGGACACTTAGCGTTTGTTCCAGTTTAATGATAATGAACTGAGAAGCTTTAAGCAGAGGAAGAAGGAATATCAGGTAAGAGTTTAAATATGAAGTAAGAATGTGATAATCATTCCCTTTGTAAAATAGATGAATTATTATGGAAACACAATTCTGAAGGGAAAAAATGATAGAAAAAATGTCAGTAATTATGATTTCTGGGCCACACTGAATGGAGAAATTTTTTGTCATCGTATTTTTATGGTGACTATAAATCAAGTTGACTTTTTTTCCATAATGCCTCTTTAAAAATGCTATGAATCATATGCCATAAATTCAATCCATTATAATTTATGGAGACATAAGTGATTATCTTGTTGGAAAGATTCAGTTAAAAATCATGAAACCCAGAGTTTAACTTCATAAAGCACATACCAAAGACATTTTCCCTATGTTCTAGGATCTGAATACAAAGAAGTGGAATATCCTTATGTTTTAGTAGCAGTGGTAGTTAATTTTCAGCATAATTTTTATTTTAAATGACCTTCAACTCTGATTGTCCTGAGGTCATAAACTGCTTTCAAGGGTTAAAAGAACAAATCATTACTATCAAAAAGCATAGCTTTAGTTCCTAGAATTCCCAATCCACTCTAAATATTCAGCTGTACTAAGTAAAATTTTATAAACTGATATTCAGAAATTCTGGTTCAGTTCTCACTATTCTCTTCAGAACTATTTTATAACTAATGACTCAGTTATGGAAAATGGGAAATGTGAAATTTTGAAATAAATATATTCATAATTCACCAATTACTCATTCTTAGAAATAAAACATGGGTCAGGATTTAGAATAAAACAATTATTTTTCATATGTATCAGTACAGAATTACTGGGCCCACTCGAGCAAATTGATGAACAACGGGAGGACAGTGACAGAATTAACATACAAAAACATTTTTAACAAAATTTTTGCAGAGCACAAATTTTCTACAAGTTAAATCTTACCTTGATTTGTTTTAATATGTAAATTAAACATACTCTTTTTTGTACTTGCAATAAGTTTACTTAGTAACTTTAATAATTTAAACAGTAAACCACACTAAATACGTTTATTATTATATATTGAATAGTAATTAGTTTCAATATTAACTTTATTGGGGCTGGAGCGATAGCACAGCAGGTAGGGCGTTTGCCTTACACACAACCAACATGGCTGACCCGTGTTCGATTCCTTCACCCCTCTCGGAGAGCCTGGCAAGCTACCGAGATTATCTTGCCCACACGGCAAAGCCTGACAAGCTACCCGTGACATATTCAATATGCCAAACACAGTAACAAGTCTCACAATGTTACTGGGCCTGCTCGAGCAAATCGATGAACAACAGGAGGACTGTGACTGTGATTAACTTTTGAAGAATAATGAAATAGAAGGATTTAATAGTAATTTTATTTATCATATTCATGAAATGACATTTACATATACTATGCTAAATCTAAAGACATTTTTGTTTTGTACTTTTAAATGTTTCTAATCTACTACATACAAAAATATTGATAAAGATAATAATTATCATTAGAACAAAACTTAAGTATTGTTATAAATCCTTGATTATATTAACTCATTTAGGTACATTTCTATAAGGTCATTCATAACAATATAGGTTTTTTGTTTCATTCTGTTTGGGGTAACCATACCCATAGGTGCTCAGAGCTTATTCCTGGCTCAGTGCTCAGGGATCACTCTGATGAGGGTTGGGGAGCCATAAAGAGCCTGGGGATTGAACCTGGGTCAGCGCATGCAAGGCAAGGACCCTACCTCCTATACTATCCCTCCAACCCTTTTCTTTCTCTCCTCCATCTCTCACTCCTTTCATCCTTCCTTCCTACTTATCTTCCCTCCCCTACATATTATCTGTCTATGCCTCTATTATTATCCCCTCATATTGGCCTCCATGTCCTGTTCCCTGCTATACTGTCTGGTAGAGAAACATCAGTTTTAGATCTGTGGCTAAGGAAAGCGCATGACCATTCTTCAGTCCTAGAGACCAGATGAAAAGAAAATCAAGAAGCAAAGACAATGACTTTGTATAGTTGAGTAATGATGATGATGATGATGTACATGAAATTATGCAGTAGTTCTATGATTCTTTTTTGTCATGAAACCCTTCTTGAAGAATCACATTTTTATATTCAATGACTTAGAGTCTGCTAGCTTCTAGCTGATACAAATATGTAATACTAATGGTCACAATGTACAATCAGGAAAGATCTTATTTTCACATTACATAAGAGAAAACATGAAATTGTATTAATAGTCTCATAGTCTGACTAGTTGCAAACCTTCTTTTAAAAAGTTCTAAATGTTCTGTCTAAATGTTCTTGTATTTTCCGAGGTCAGGTATTTCTAAATATTTTGAGTCATTTTTACAACCGTAATCAAAACAAATAATTTAAAAAAATTCAGCCACTTGACTGAACATGTTTAAGAATAATAACCATTCATGACTGAACTTCGGTAATAAATCTTCCATATCTTGTATAATCTTCATCATACTTAAATTCTACTTTGTGAAAGGCTTAAGTTGTTGAAATCTACTGACATTCTATTCATTCATTTGACAAACCTTTTCTAAAATATCTCATCTATGATTTGCAGTGTCATGAAAATGTGGATGAAATAAAGAGATACAATGTTAATGTGGGAAATAGTGTTGGGGTGAGAACAGAACACTCTTCCCCTTTTTGAAATGTCGTTTCAATAATATTCAATTCAAAATTTATGTTTCAGGCTCATGTTTTTGATGTGCCACACCAATCACCCAGGTGCCAATATTCTCCACCTCTATCACTACATCCCTTTACTTCTGCCCCTCCCTTCCTTTTTTCATCTTCCGCCCCCAAAATTCCTTTATTTTTTGGGGGGGTGGAGTGGAAGAGAAAGTTTGGGGCCATATTTAGCAGTTCTCAGGAGCTACTTTTGGCTGATTGAGCGTTGCACCTGGTAGAACTTGGAGAATGACTTGGGGATAGGAACTGAACTGAGGTCAGCCACACACCAAGTAAATGCCTTAGATTTCCCTGGTCCCAGTTGCTAAGATTCTCACTATGTCAGGGGTTCTTAATAGCTGATGAGTAGGCAATGTTTCATAACATAATATAGAAAGGGTATCACATAATTATTCTTCAAAATTAAAGCAGCTAAAAATTTGTAAGAAATAGTGGTTTTTCACTTGGTCACATACCCATGTGAACATATTATCTGGGCATGAATATACAATTTGACAATGAAAATGGGGCTAAAATGTTTCCTTCCCAACCGCTAAAAAATTTCTATTTAGTAAGATCTAGGACATCTTTATCCAAGAAATAGTTAAATGTACAAATATAAAATTGCTTTGTCATATAATGTAACAAATAGTTCTTGCGTAATGATTGAGATAAAGAATTGAGAAATATAACCTTAACCTTAATGCAATGAAGTGTCATTTCAAAATAAAAATACATACAACCATTACGTTTGAGTGTTTGTTTTATTTCATTTTGCTTTTGTGTATGTTTATTGAGGGTAGAAGCTAAAGAAATGTATTGAACTTACCATACTATTGTCATTAAAAAACTAAAAAATCATAGTTTTAATTTATAAATTCCTTTATCTCAATAATTTAATAATTTATCTTTAATTTCTTTCTTCCCCTCTACTTTCTTCCTATCTTTTGTTTAGTTTCTTTTATTTTGTTTGAGGACCACACCCAGTGCTGCTCAGGACTTATTCCTACTGGTACTCTGGGGACTATATTTGGTGCCAAGGTTTTAGCCAGAATTGATCACATGCAAGACGCGTGCTTTAACTACTATACTATCTCTCTAACTGTATTTTGTATTTTTATCTTAGTGCTTTAGTTCCAATAATAAACAATATGCTCAGAGCTTTCTCCTACCTCTGTGCTCAAGGTTCACTCCTGTAGGTGTTCAAAGGTCATCCGGTACCAGGGGGTTTACCAGGGTTGACCACAGGAATTCCATCCCCAGTACTATCTTTCCCATCATATATTTTATTTGTATCACAGCGTTTTAAGTTCAATAGAAAGCAATCTTATTACCAATGTCATTGATGTTGCTTTTATTCATGTCTTTTCACCTCCCAATGCCTTCCCCTTGCTTATGCAATGATCAAGAACAAATTTAGTTTTTCCCGTGCATTGGAAATATGTCCATTGTTCTATATTCAATTTGACCAAACTACTTTTATTTTAGGTGTTTCTTGACTTGCAACATCTTTGATTTTAAAAACACTCATTTTACAAATATGGAAACTGTGATAAAGAGAGTGTACCTATTGTCTGAAATTGCACA